TCTTTCTATATACGCTAACAGTAACCTTCGTGAATAGTACCGTATAGATGAATAGTGTCGTATAGGTGAATAGTGTCCGTAAGCATGAATAACTTTGTGTATTAACAACATCAACCAAAAGGCTCTGATACCACTGTTAGGATGCTAGCATGCAAACCCAACAAGATAAAAGATAAGAGACAGGATAAAATGAGAAATGGAACACACAAGAATTTACGTGGTTCACCCAATTGGGCTATGTCCACAGACAAGTATAGAAGAATTTTACTAAGTAATGTGGGAATTACAACCTCTCTCTAATAATAGGAGAACAACTAAGAATCTCTCTATTATTAGGAGAAAACACCTCACTTACTCTATCACAAATACCTCATAATTTTGTGGGATTACTCTCTCTTCACTCTCTTCTTCTTCTTTCTATTTTGGTGTGCATATAGGCTTGAATGCATTGCCTATTTATAGGCAAGAGTGAGGGTATAATGGTCATAAATTTAGGAGGAATATATGCCTAACAACTCATCCTTCACTCATACTTCATTAATTATACCAACTCATCCTCCACCAATTACAACTCATCTCCCACTCAAATCCCATTAATTATGCCACCTAATTACATGACTTTACACAACAGATTTCATAGTATCCCATCAATTCTTATTTTTAGTTTCTATAATGCATATCGTGAGCTCTTTATGACTTACATGTAGCAACAACTCTCCTGCAGGTTTTGAGATCAAATCATCACATTTGAGGAAATATGAGAACCTTAACCTGAGCTATAATATGTTCAACGACAACATTTTATCATATCTGGGTGGATTTCCTGCTCTCAAGTCTTTAAATTTATCTGGCAATATGTTGTTAGGATCAACGACTGTCAATGGTAAAGTTTTTAATATTTCATGGCATCTTCTACCTAATTAGGCATAACTTACCCAAAATTCATTTTTTTAGATTGTACATGAAAACTTATTTTGCTTATTTTTCAACAATACCTTAATCTCTAAACTTCTCATGCAATTTGTTATTTCTATCCAAAAATCATCATAGGTTTAAGATGTATACTTAATTGCAAAATACTTAATTTCGCTACTTATTTGATTGCCTGTTTTCAATTCTACACATCATAGGTTTAAGGAAGCTGGAATTACTGCATTCACTGGGAGCATTGCCATCCCTAAAGACCCTTTCTCTTAAGGATACTAATTTAAGTTGGACATCAATAAGGCAAGGTTAATCAAAGTTTAGTTTCTTAAAATCTCGTAATAATATTGAATGGAATGGGTACTCTGTACCACCACTATTTTGATCATGCCTTTTCTTGGTTCTTTTTCACGGGGACTTTCTTCAACTCGACCACCCTCGAAGAATTGTATCTAGATCGTACTTCTCTCCGAATAAACTTTCTCCAGAGCATTGGAGCATTGCCTGCTCTTAAAGTTTTGTCTTTTGGTGAAATTGACCTTCATGGCACGCTGCCTGCTCAAGGTATATTAGCAACTCTCCATCTGCCTATAATTAAATTATCAATGAAAGATACTTGCATCACTATTTTGACTATTTTGAGATAAATTGTACAGATTTGTGTGAATTGAAGAATCTGGAGTAGTTATATCTCTATGGAAATAATTTAGGTGGTTCACTCATAGATTGTTTGGGGAACTTGTCATCTCTACAACTACTAGATGTTTCTAGAAACCAATTTACCGGAAATATTAACTCCAGTTGTCACGGGGATAAAATTTTCTTCGCAATCTTAATCCCAGCGCAGCAGTCTAGTCCCGTTACTAGACTCAGCCTTTCTCCCAATTCACTCGTGTTTGTCTAAAGTCTAAGTGTTTCGTATACTCAGAGGTTTTCCCCACAACTCTTATCAATTTCGGCAAGAAGAACACAAGTTCAAGATTAAACACAGCACAATAACAACACCAGCAATTTACGGGAACCAACCCAACCTTTATTAATTCACAAACAAAGGAATACACAATAACAATGTATATGTGCTATGCACAATCCGAATCTACATGCTACACATGTTTAGGCTCTATATAATACACATATATATAATGGAAGTTACACATAAAACTGCCCCTTGACAGCTTAACTCCTTCTAGACAGCACAACACATTTCAATGACAGCCAACTGCCTTGAATGCGAGTAGGCATTCGCTGGACCAATCCCAACGTTGATTTTTCTTTAACAAATCAGACAAAGGGGCTACCTTCTTGCTGTAATCTTCTATAAACCGACGATAATAATTTGCCAAGCCCAAAAATGACCTCGGCCCAGTCACCGTCGACAAAGCTGCTCAATCTCATATAGCCTGCACCTTCTTCGGATCCATCCGAACCTACCCAAAACTCACCAAGTGCCCCAAGAATGTGATCTCAGAACAAGCAAATTCACACTTCTCTTTCTTCACAAACAGTTCATGTTCTCTTAGTCTACGCAGCACCTTATCCAAGTGCACAACATGCTCATCCATACATCGGTTAAAAATAACAATATCGTCCAGATAGACAACCACAAAATCATCCAAATACTCATAAAGAACATAAACTCGTCTTGAGCCAAATGGCATAACCATAAACTCGTATGACCCATACCTTGTCATACAAGTCGTCTTGTGCTCATCCCCCTCAGCAACTCTAACATGCCAGTATCCAGACCTCAAGTCCAGCTTTGTGAAAACAGAAGCCCCACTCAATCTGTCGAGTAAGTCTTGAATCAGCGGCACAGGGTATTTGTTCTTAATCGTTACCTTATTCAAAGTGCGATAATCCACACACATCCGCAAGCTACCATCTGCCTTCTTCTGAAACAGAACAGGAGCACCATATAGAGCTTTTGAAGATTGAACAAAACCTGCATCAATCAATTCCATCAACTGCTTTCTCAATTCGCCCAATTCCCTTGGCGACATACGATACGGAGGTTGTGATGGTGGTGTCGCACCAGGCACAAGTTCTATCTTGTGATCAACATCCCGCCTTAGTGGAAGCTTTTTCGGCAACTCTGGAGGCATCACATCTTTATACCCCTCCAACAGCCCAGCAATAACTTCAGGCACTGACCCAACCTGTTTTGACTCCTCAATCACAGTTACTGCCAAGAACACTTCACCACCTTTCTTCAAGACTTTGCTGATCGCAATGGCTGAAACCAAGCTAATTCCCTCCTTTCGACTTTCAGCCACCACTACCTTATAACAAGGAACAAAACAGGGACAAACCTCATTCGCAATCAGAATTCCATCCAGATGAGGCATCAACGCAATCTTGGCTCTCTTCAGAAAATCTAAGCCAAGAATGACATCAAAATTGTTAAGCATCACCACCAACAAATCTTGCTTTCCCTACCACTTATCCAGCACCATAGGCACGCCATAGGCCATGCCTAGTATTCGTTGTGCCTTGGCATTCACTGCCTTCATCAAAGTCTTGCTGTTACTCAAACGCAACCCAAGTTGCGTCACCAACCTGTCAGCAACGAATGTATTCGTAGCACCAGAATCCAACATAGCAACTATCTCCCTGTCATTAACTCTAATTTTAACATACATTAGAGAATCCACAACACCCAATTTACCTTGTCGCAGCACATCAATCCGTGCTAAGTCAGTTTCAACAAGGCTGGATTCGGCCACCGAATCCTGCATCTCAGCAACTAAATAATTCAGCACACGCATTGGGTTGATGTGCGTGACTGTCTCCTTTTGGTCACTATCACCCACAAGAATTGCATTCAACCTTTCCTTTTTCGGGCATTCTCTTGTATAGTGTGGTCCACTGCAAATGAAACAACCTGCATTCGGCTTGCTGGGGTCCCTTTGTTGCACATCAGCTTGCTTGCCTTTTCCCTTATCAATCCCAGGCTTGTATCCTCCCCCACCGAACTTCTTTTTCTTTCTCTTTTCATCCCTCTTATCCTTAGTCTTGAATCTCAAGAGGACAACAATAGAACCATCTCACATCACTATCTTAAAGTCGACCAAGCTATCTGCAGCAGCAATGGCAGATGGTAAGTCTTTAACATTCTGCCTCAGCAACTCAACCTGTGCCCAAGGCTGTAAACCTGACATGAAGTTGAATAGCTTATCTTCCTCAAACATGTTCTCTATGTCTAGGATCAAATAACTAAAATCTTTGACGTAATCCCTCACCGATTTTTCTTGCTTCAATTTCTTCAAATCTTCTCTAGCCAGCCAAGACATGTTGTTCGACAAGAATTGTTCTTTCAACTTTTGTTTCAAGCGATCCCAAGTTTCAATTTTAGGACGCCTAGCATTGAGATCATCCTTGATCTGAGTCCTCCACCACAGCTTCGCATCACCAGACAAATACATCGTTGTGATGTTTACCTGTTCGTCAACCCCAATCCTAGCCACCCTAAACTACTGCTCCATGTCCCACAGCAAATTTTCCAACTCTTTGGAACTCCTTACGCCACCGAATGGCTTAGGTTCTGGTACTCTAGGTTTGGACGAGCCACTACCCGTTGCGACATTCGATACTGCCTTCTTTAACACCGCGATCTCCCCCTCCAGAATTTGTATCTTGCTGCTTACCTCTGTCGCAAGATCCACATACTGCCCCACAACCCTCTCTACCATCTCCACAGCATACGCAAGTCTATCATTCACTGTATGATTTTCATTTTCGGCCAAAAGACCCAGAACAGTTTCAATATGGGTGAGTCTTTCGCGAATCACCTCCATGCCTGATGGCATTTGATGTTCAGCAGTAACTTTATAAATAGAACGAGCCAAGGCTTTGATACCACTTGTCACAGGGATAAAATTTTCATCACAATCTTAATCCCAACGCGGCAGTCTAGTCCCGTTACTAGACTCAGCCTTTCTCCCAATTCACTGTTGTTTGCCTAAAGTCTAAGTGTTTCGCACACCTAGAGGTTTTCCCCACAACTCTTACCAATTTTGGCAACAAGAACACAAGTTCAAGATTAAACACAACACAATAACAACACCAGCAATTTACGGGAACCAACCCAACCTTTATTAATTCACAAACAAAGGAATACACAATAACAATGTATGTGTGTTATGCATAATCCAAATCTGCATGCTACACATGTTTAGGCTCTATGTAATACACATACATATAATGGAAGTTACACATAAAACTACCCCTTCACAGCCTAATTCCCTCTTGACAACTTAATTCTCTCTAGACAGCACAACACATTTCAATGATAGCCAACTGCCTCGTAACTACTACATAACTGCCCACAAGCAACTTCTTTGGTCTGCCACCCAACAAACCAAACTGTCCAAACTAATTTTTCCTAGGTGCCGGCCCTCATAAGCAACTCAAGATGACTTAGACAGTCCATCATCAAAGTCCAGCATGGTGCGAAGCATAAACCCGCTGTTCGCACACACCCGTTATACTCGTTGTCGAAATCTGCACTGCCCATGCATACTGCCATTACACTTGTGTGATACCACTGCCTAGCAGTGAATCGTTGGCGCGCCCTTATGCCTAAGGCTATGACACCAGTCCTCTTACCAACATCATATCCCTTCAATTCCTCTCACTATCAAATAACCTCTTTGAAGTTCCCATTTTAATGAAGCCTTTTATGAACCACTCAAGCCTCAAGCTCTTTGATAGTGAGAACAATAGGCTAGTAACGGAACCTATTGCCTTTGATAATTTGATTCCAAAGTTCCAACTAGTCTTTTTCCTCTTGTCAAATAGTCTAACATCAGAAGCAATCAATGTAGAAATTCCCAACTTCCTCTGTAGCCAATACGACTTAAGAGTCCTTGATCTCTCCTACAACAACATCATTAGAATGTTTCCATCGTGGTTGCTTAAGAACAATACACGATTGGAGCAACTATTTATGAGTGAGAACTCCTTTGTTGGTACTTTACAGTTGCAAGATCACTCAAATCCAAAATTGAAAGTCATAGATATATCCGACAACAACATGAACGGTCAAGTTCCAAAAAAATATTTGTTTGATCTTTTCAAATCTAAACACCTTAAGGATGGCTAAGAATGGATTCACATGTTGTATTCCTTCTTGTTTAGGAAATATTAGCTCTCTGGATGTTTTAGATTTATCTAACAATCAATTATCGACAGTAAAACTAGAATGGTTGACAGCATTAACGTTTCTCAAGCTGTCAAACAACAATTTGGGTGGGCAATTACCTGACTCAGTGTTCAATTCTTCTGGACTATATTATCTCTACCTAAGAGGTAACAACTTTTGGGGTCAGATACCAGATTTTCCACCACCCTCTTGGAAAATATGGTTTGAATTGGATTTGAGTAACAATCAGTTTTCAGGCATGCTTCCAAGGTGGTTAGTCAATTCGACGCTACTCTGCATAATTGATTTGTCCAAAAACCATTTTAAGGGTCCAATTCCAAGTGACTTTTGTAAGCTTGAGGTGCTTGAATATTTGGACCTTTCTAAGAACAAATTGTTTGGTTCTATACCATCCTGCTTCAATCCACCGCAAATAACCCATGTGCATCTATCTGAGAATAGATTGAGCGGTCTATTAACATATGGATTTTATAACAGCTCTTCCCTGGTTATGATGGATCTCCGAGATAACAACTTCACCGGTTCCATTCCAAATTGGA